CGGCGCCAAAGGCCGCCACATACGGAAAAGAAAAAAAAACTTCTTCATGGCCGGCGACTGCATCTGCCGCCGCCGGCACTATAGATGATCGGTCGTAGCCCTCTGGCTGTGCCAATGATGGAACAGCTGCGGTGTACCACCGCGGTTGCATGAAGTGGTGGCCTGGCGGCCGCCATATCTAGGAAGGATCGCAATCGCGACCCTAGGGCAGCACAGCTCTGGGCTTCGGCCTAGAGCTGTAACAAATAAAATAAAATATCACAAGCCCATTTGGGGCCCGTGACAGAAGAAGCCAGCAGTAGCAGAAACTGCAGGTATAAACCTACCGCCATTAGGGAAGTTTTGGGTTTATTTCAAACCAAATTTTGGAGATTTTGGGTAATTTTTAACCCATTAAGAAATTAAGTGCAAATTAATTAAAGAAAATTAAAGATTCAATTGAATAAAATAAAATTTCAGTTCTTTATTTTATTTTATTTTATTATTATTGCACTTTATTGTCTTGTATTTTGAAATAAGTTGATTGAAATAATATTATTGCTAAAGTAACATCTGTTGTGGATGTTAATTTATTTTAAAATATAAAGATGTGTATACCTGCTATTTATATGAATAATGATCGGTCCAAAAGAAGTTATTATTTGGTCAAATAATGAGTATACTTGTAGTAATAAATATGTGACAATTATAAAGTTTTCCATGTGAACAATAGTTGGCCTAAAGGAAGGTTGTTGTTTGACAAGATTTATTGACAATATTTGATTACTGCACGAAGAGTACCACTTACAAGCTGATATTTCTTGTCCAAAGACTAAATATCAGTGTTGTGCTAGGTATCTTGAAATGGGCCCACTATCCTTCGGATTGTTTATTTATGTCATAGGTGGATTTTTATTGTTTGATTATAATTATGTATGACATGAATGTTGATTGTGAGTATGTTGTTATATTTTCTTCTCTATTCAGTTTCTACTACTGCTGCTAATGTTTTTGCACAAATAAATATGATCCCAATGCTGAATGGGACGAATTTCAAGATCTGGAAAGAGAACGTGGAAATCGTTATCGGCTGTATGTGTTGGTAACCGAATCGAATTCGGATGCGGAAGCGTGGCGGGGAGGCGGATCATGTATAACAAAAATTTCATAAAACTTTTGAGATACTCTATAAATTATATTAATTTATACACAAATAAATTAATCACATTAATTTATATGTCAAGAACTCAATTAGGAAAAATACCTAAAGGTCGACTCGGATGATAACTTGAGTTCTTTGACTACGAACAGTCCTTGCTCCAATTTTTGTGTTTAGAAAACTAAAGTCTTCCACGTCAATTCCTTGATTCCACAAAGACGTGTGTGTGGGCACACGTGAGACAAAACAGGTTTGAATAAACACTCAAATTTTCCACAAACACCAACGCATGCACAATGTGGAATTTTTTGGGAGAAAAAATTTTCCTCTTCCACTTCTTTTGAGAAATTCGGCCACTCTCACTATTAGGGCAGAAAAATATGTGTCAAAAATTGTGTTCACAATCTTCTATCATTCTCATATTTAAAGAGTAGAAGTCAAACTTCAAAAAAGAATCAAATCTCTATCTCCTATTTGAATTTGGAACAAAAAATCTCCTACGCCTTACCTCTAATGTGGCCGGCCACCCTAGGGTTTTTCTCCCTTGTGTGTGGCGCCAATTTTGGATAGGGAAGGAAGAGAAATCATCATTTATCTTGTAGTCCAATTTTAATTCAAATTCAAATTCGAATTTAAGTCAAACTTAAATGAATTTGAATTCTAAATTGAACAACTTATCAAATAAGTTTAAAAGGATAAATTTAAATTATGTTCACAATTCAAATTCAAATTTAAATAATCACATTATTTAAATAATAATTAATTTTCAATTAATTATTTTTTGAGTATTTAATTTTAGAATTTCATAATTCTAAAATTCTCATTTTGTCCTTTGTGTATGGTAGAATTACAAGGACGACGCGGAGACTTATGGACCTATAATCTCGAGCTCTAATAAAATTAATAATTAATTAAACACTTTAATTAATTAATTAATTCTATTAATTCCAATAGTTACTCCACTATAAACTTAAAATTGAACTCTCAAAATTATAGACATTAATTACTTCTAAACTGTGAAATGTCCATTTGATATAGTCATTGCATATAGATCAATCCTCCATAAATAATTCATAATTAGAGTCAGGTAGAATCCGTTAACCTCTCTAATTATATATTCATCCTTGAGTACTATTGATTCTCTAATGGATAATGCTTCATAAAACACATTCATGAACCAGAGCGCTCTTACTAATCCAAGTACCGAATCAACACTCAAGAGAATTATTTATCTGCTTCTTTCTCAAGAATGAATGGATTCCATCTCGTATAATAACATTC